CTCGTCTGGAAGATTAGTGTGGAACAGTGAGAGAAGACCAGGAGCAGCAGGCACCTAAGCCGTGTCTGGTGTGGGAGTGAATTTCTGGCAGAGATCCGCTGCTTATATAGTCCTGACCCGTTGGTTGCCAGAGGTCGCCAGGCTCCTACACCTGTTACTGAACACAGGATACATTCTTACACATGTGTCACGGATGATATATAGTGTCATACATGATACATAGTGTCATACATGATGTACTGACACGTGTTACACACACTGACGGTGCTTGTAGGTCTGGGGCCAGATTCACGAAACAGTCACGCAAGCACTTACGAACCCTGCTGTCCATCTTTTCTCAATCTTTGGCGGCTTTGTTTACAATTATTAAACAGTTAATGAGCTCGGAAGCACCAGGAGGCTGTTTATAACAATAACAACAGTTGATTGGCAAGTTTTCATGCTTGTAAACTGTTTAATAAATGAAACCAAAGCCGTCAAAAATTGAGGAAAGATGTACACGTTCGTAAGTGCTTGCGTAACTGCTTCGTGAATCTTGCCCCTCTACTGCATTAAAGTACAAATGTCACTGATGCAGTGCAACTTGGCAATTTTTGACACATGGTATTTGATCAAAATAGTCAGGAAACAGAATTGTTTGGGCATTTTATCACCAAAAAGAACAGCATATATTATGATGAATACTTGATGAGTAAGTTAGGAACCCTCGGTCAAATTGATGCGTTTATCGGACAAAAGCTGCGAGTCTGGACACAATGGCGCACCACGAGTATGAATTTCATAATTTCCATATCGTTTTGTGCAATACTGAAATGGAAAGTGTGCAATAATGCATTAAAAATTAGCAAATGTGTGAGAGTGATGTCATAGCGACAGTGAAATTTAGCCTACTACGAAGGCGTGAGCACAAAGGGTTCAACTGCTGTTTGGAAGACAGTGACTGTCTTCAGGAATGTCTTCAGGAAGACAGTGACTGTCTTCAGGAATGTCTTCAGGAAGACAGTGACTGTCTTCAGGGATGTCTTCAGGAAGACAGTGACTGTCTTCAGGAAGACAGTGACTGTCTTCAGGAATGTCTTCAGGAAGACAGTGACTCTTCAGGAATGTCTTCAGGAAGACAGTGACTGTCTTCAGGAATGTCTTCAGGAAGACAGTGACTGTCTTCAGGAATGTCTTCAGGAAGACAGTGACTCTTCAGGAATGTCTTCAGGAAGACAGTGACTGTCTTCAGGAATGTCTTCAGGAAGACAGTGACTGTCTTCAGGAATGTCTTCAGGAAGACAGTGACTGTCTTCAGGAATGTCTTCAGGAAGACAGTGGAGGACCTTGACGCGCCGCACAGACAAGAGACGCCGAAGAAAAGCTAGGATGAGACCCTCGGCCAGATTCACGAAGCAGTTACGCCAGCACTTACGAACGTGTCCATCTTTCCTCAATCTTTGACGGCTTTGGTTTACATTTATTAAACAGTTTACAAGCATGAAAACTTGCCAATCAACTGTTGTTATTGTTATAAACAGCCTCCTGGTGCTTCCGAGCTCATTAACTGTTTAATAATTGTAAACAAAGCCGCCAGAGATTGAGAAAAGATGTACAGGTTCGTAAGTGCTTGCGTAACTGCTTCGTGAATCTGGCCCCAGGCCGCCTAGCTTCATATAATCTGTAGAGTTTATAGTTGGCAAATTGGCTTGGCCACTATTCAAGCTTTACACCCACACACACACACACACACACACACATATGTCAGACCAATCCTGGAGTATGCAGCCCCAGCATGGAGTCCATATCTAGTCAAGGATAAGACTAAACTGGAAAAGGTTCAAAGGTTTGCCACCAGACTAGTACCCGAGCTGAGAGGTATGAGCTACGAGGAGAGACTACGGGAATTAAACCTCACTTCGCTGGAAGACAGAAGAGTTAGGGGGGACATGATCACCACATTCAAGATTCTCAAGGGAATTGATAGGGTAGATAAAGACAGTCTATTTAACACAAGGGGCACACGCACAAGGGGACACAGGTGGAAACTGAGTGCCCAAATGAGCCACAGAGATATTAGAAAGAACTTTTTTAGTGTCAGAGTGGTTGACAAATGGAATGCATTAGGAAGTGATGTGGTGGAGGCTGACTCCATACACAGTTTCAAGTGTAGATATGATAGAGCCCAATAGGCTCAGGAACCTGTACACCAGTTGATTGATAGTTGAGAGGCGGGACCAAAGAGCCAGAGCTCAACCCCCCGCAAGCACAACTAGGTGAGTATACATAGCATCGCGGCTGAGTGGACAGCACTCTGGGGTCGTAGTCCTAAGGGCCTGGGTTCGATCACCGGTGAAGGCGGAAACAAATGGACAGTTTCTTCCACCCTGATGTCCCTGTTCACCTAGCAGTAAATAGGTACCAGGGAGTCAGACAGCTGCTACGGGCTGCTTTCTGTGTGTGTGTGTGTGTGTGTGTGTGTGTGTGTGTGTGTGTGTGTGTGTGTGTGTGTGTGTGTGTGTGTGTGTGTGTGTGTGTGTGTGTGTGTGTGTGTGTGTGTGTGTGTGTGTGTGTGTGTGTGTGTGTGTGTGTGTGTGTGTGTGACAAATATATGTAGTAGACATAATAGAAAATAAAATTGGTTAGGAAAAATATAATTGGTTATAAAGGCGGGGCCCAAGAGCTAATATTTCGATTCTACAGATATAAATAGTAAATACAGAGAGGTAGACGGTTGGAACAAGTTAGGTGAGAAGGTGGTGGTGGAGGCCAAGACCGTCAGTAGTTTCAAAGCGTTATATGACAAAGAGTGCTGGGAAGACGGGACACCACGAGCGTAGCTCTCATCCTGTAACTACACTTAGGTAATTACACATAGGTGTAGTTACCTATGTAGTATTACCTACTCACACACACACAGTCACTAGTGGAGTCCCACAGGGTTCAGTCCTTGGACCTATCCTGTTTCTGATCTGATAATTTCATTTACATTATCATGAAACAGCAGTATGAGAGTTCTAAGAATATGCAGTACTGTACTGACCTTACACACAGAGATCACACTAACGTGATGCATCAAATGAACAAATCCACAAGGGCCGTGACGAGGATTCGAACCTGCGTCCAGGAGCATCCCAGACACTGCCCTAATCGACTGAGCTACGACAGGGATAAAAGAGTTGAAACCGAAGTTCTACCGAACTTACTGGATCCTGCAGCCTCTCCGAGACACAAACCAGGGTTTTACACAACTCCCCCCTGTACTCGAGCTGTCAATAGGCCGTTCTCCCTCTTCGCTCTTACATCATTACACGAGGAAGAGGGAGAACGGCCTATTGACATAGCTCGAGTGCAGGGGGGAGTTGTGTAAAACCCTGATTTGTGTCTCGGAGAGGCTGCAGGATCCAGTAAGTTCAGTAGAACTTCGGTTTCAACTCTTTTAACCATGTCGTAGCTCAGTTGATTAAGGCAGTGTCTGGGATGCTCCCGGACGCAGGTTCGAATCCTCGTCACGGCCCTTGTGGATTTGTTCATGCAGTACTGAGTTTATAGATGATGAAATTAGTGTCATATATAGTGTAAGTTTCACTTTAAAACACACTAATTATTGGTAAAGTCAGCCACATGACCTGCCTTACCTTGAGGTGCTTCCGGGGCTTAGCGTCCCCGCGGCCCGGTCCTCGACCAGGCCTCCTGGTTGCTGGACTGATCAACCAGGCTGTTGGACGCGGCTGCTCGCACTTAATGACTCTTAAAACTCTTGTTTGAAAAAGAAAGAAGAATTTAATATTAAAAATACAATTTCACGATTATTTCAATGAAATTTCTAAATTACGGAAACAATTTAATACTAATGTAGCATTTAGGAATCTTCTCATAAAACACTCATTAAACATCCCCCGAATAGTTGCAATAGATGTTTGTGTAAATAAAATTCCATATATAGATTGCAATTAGTTCTATACATGGCCAAACAGGTAAACATATTGAGCAGAGACTAGAAATATGGCAGCCCGTCCTCGAGAGAGGAGGGAACCTGCTGCATGGGTAACAGCTTCATATCAACCTACCCTGGGTTTGCGCCCTGGAGAGGCCACTACAGACCGACAACCAGAGCACAATTCCATAGTCTCCTGAGACTGGTGGCTGCCTATTAGTAGTATATTGCCCAACCAGTCCTCTTGAAGGGGAAATTATAGCAGCTCGCAGAAATTGACGTGATGTCCCGTTTTCTATGTGTGGGTCCTTGGGGAGGCTCGGGTAATTTAGTACATCAGTTTCGTGACGTTGTGAATGTTTGAGAGGACGGGTCTCTCCCCCCCTCCCCCCCCCCCCTCTCTCTCTCTCTCTCTCTCTCTCTCTCTCTCTCTGTCTCTCTCTCTCTCTCTCTCTCTCTCTCTCTCTCTCTCTCTCTCTCTCTCTCTCTCTCTCTCTCTCTCTCTCTCTCTCTCTCTCTCTCTCTCTCTCTCTCTCTCTCTCTCTCTCTCCCCCCTCTCTCTCTCTCTCTCTCTCTCTCTCTCTCTCTCTCTCTCTCTCTCTCTCTCTCTCTCTCTCTCTCTCTCTCTCTCTCTCTCTCTCTCTCTCTCTCTCTCTCTCTCTCTCTCTCTCTCTCTCTCTCTCTCTCTCTCTCTCTCTCTCTCTCTCTCTCAACGTCAGCATTAACAGGATGTAATAGTGACAAGATCCTGTCCAGAAAGAGTTTTCCGCCTTCAGTGCCGTGAGTGGCGCGAAAGGCTTACACCTATCATATATGTGTGCTCGCCGGGCCAGCGCCAGCTCCTGGACCCCGCCTTTCCCCTACCGGTCACTGATTGCAACTACTCTTCATTATCTTGCATCCTCTTATACTTATGTTGACACTGGGTATATATATATGTAGTTGGGCTTAACTTTCTCACTGCTCTCTCATCTCTCTCACTACTCTCTCTCATCTCTCACCACCTCTCTCACCACCAACTCTCTCCTCCAATGCCCTTTCTCATTCATTGCATTTCTTCCAATTCACACTTTCAATTTTCCGTATCTCCATCTCTCCATCCAGTCTCTCACTCCCCCCACCCCCTCCCTCACTTTCTCTCACTCCTCACCAGTAGATCCTTATTCCTTCCTC